AGAAAAAAAAAATCATTTTGAATTCAAATCAAAAATCAAAGTGTGTGGACATCATCATCATTTCACCAAAGAAAGTTTTTTTCTTTAAAGAAAGAAGAAACTTATCTTAATTGAAATGATAAATGAATAATAAAAGAACTAAGAAATCATCATCATCAAATCAATCCAATTTAGCTTTAACACACACACACACACCAAGCACACATATCAAATATTTCTAGATAGAATTTCTTTCTCTCTCTCTCTTTCTCACTCATCATATTTCGATTGATAAATAGATAAATATTCTGTGTGTATGTAGCATCCTCGTTATGATATATTCATGGAGAGAGCTGAAAGATAGATAATTTTTCAATTGCCAATCCGATTAGTTTAGTTTAGTTTAGTAAGTTAGTCTATTGAAAATTGCATCACAAATTTACGCAAAAATCATCATCATCATTTTTCGAATATAATCACCAAAAATGAAATGAAAATATATTTAAATTTTATGAGCGTAAAATTCAATTTTTTTCAGGTAAGTCTTTTGGTGAATCCATTAGAAGATGCAGAAAGAGAGAAATAGAAAATAAATATCATAATCATCAAGACTTTCTCACGAGATTTTTTGCTTTTTTTCTGACCAAAAGTTTTCAAGAAATTCTGCTTTATGGAAAAAAAATTCTTTCAAAAGCCAAATAATGATAATTGGTGAACAAATGGAGCGTAAAATTAGCCTTTTTTTTGCTCGATGTGTGTGTGTGTTGGTTGACCAAATAACCAAATGATGATGATATGATCACCACCAAAATACAATTATCAATTTGAAACAAACACCTGGACAAGCTACCATCACCATTATCATTTTGTACCAGGGAAAAAAAACAATCAAAATCGATGTACAAATTGATTTATATATTCATTTTAGGTTATTTCAATTTGTTGACCTGATCAATTGACTAACTAACTAACTAACTTTGTAAGTGTAAGTGTCTCAATTAGACAAATTTCTCTCACACTTACACTGTGTGTGTGT